TATATATATATATAAGTATAAAATCGCAAGAAATTAGGTATAAAGCTCACGTTATGGAATAATTTTCTTCAATACAGCCCTAGCCTTTACAGTAAATCATACTTTTAAAAATAGCTCATTCCTTCAAATTATCTAGCTTACGTAATCTCATACTAAAAATGTTTTTCAACACAAAAAAGCTGACCATCCAAGGAACAATCGCCCCAATAAATGCATTTTCCATTATGACGAGCATAGCCTTCAATACATGAGCAAGCAGGTTTGGCACAGAGATCACAACTTTCTTGCAAAAATACCTAAAATTTAAAGTATGAATTGACGACAGATCTAAACAAATAATGGCCGAAGAACGCATTTCGACTGCAAATACCTGTCATCAGTGGGATGCGCTTCTGCTCGTTTACCACCCGCCCGGTGTGCTAGAAACTATGCTTTTGCAACTGTTTTGTATAAAAGGAATTTGCTTACAGTAACACAATCGGGTTCACAAATTCGGCCACACTCATTGATTGTCTCATTGATACCGCATGACAATTCTTCAAGATTTGGTTGTTCTTCAGTTTCTTTTACAGTGGTTGTAGAAGCTACTTCTATTTCAGGGATTGGCTTTACCGGAATTTCTTTCGTTACAGCTTCGGTAGCCCAGTGTTCTTCCAGATCTACAAATTTCCCATCGTTTACATACAATCAAAAATCATAATTATGTACATTGCAGTTTCAAGTGAATTGCATAGTTTCTAAATACTCACTTGGACAGTCTCCCCAAAAGATACACTCTCCTTGAAATCGAACATAATTGTCAGCGCATGTACATGCTGGCACATCACAGGTTGCTTCGCACGGTGAGGTGTCATACATATTTTCGCAGGTTGGTTCACATGCTACACCACACTTTGCCCAAGTAGCGTTACCCGGGCATTCAACTTCAGCCTTAAAATACAATTTTGAATTCTAAATTGTTTCGACCTACAGCATTTATGCAGACTATTTAATTTGAAAACATAATGTGGTCTTGCGTTGAGAATTATATATAAACTTGCCTGGCTTGAACAATAATTGAACGGTACACAAGTGTCATTTTCATTGGATACTCTAACAAATCCTTCTCTACAGACACATCGTGGGGTACCGCATGAACGAGGACAATCAGGGATAGTTTCAGGAAAACTGGTCCAATCGCATGACGCTTCACACTGTCTTGTAAATTCAGGACAATTGCTGTACATCTCGTTCTCAAGACATTCTTCTAAAGTCCGTACTAATTATAATATTGACGTAGTAAAAAAAAAGATTCAGATATTAAGCAAAAAATAAAAACCTTTTCCCTCTTCAGTCGTTTTCTTTTTTTCAGTTCGTGACGATGTCAAGGTGGAATCAGAAGTTGCAGCCACTTCCTGCATTATACCCTTTCCCGGCTCTACCGATTGCTGGTCACTGTAACCGTTTAGAATTGGACATTTTTTTTCGCTTGACGGCGATTTCCATCCAATTGCAACCCATGATCGGCTTTTAAACTTTAGGACAAATTCAATTTCATCCTATAATAACAGGATTTACATAATAATGTACAAACAAGTAGCTTTTGAAATTGAAAACAAAATAATATTTAAAAAAGTCTGAAGCATGCTCAAAAAGCTATAATTTTTGCTGTATTTAATAAAATACCTCAATTATCTTCCAGTAGACTCGATCCTTATCATCACCAACTCTGATTAACTTATATTGTGATAAATCAAAATTATCATCGTCCACTACCGATTCATTCTCTTAAAACAAAAAAAAAATCGAATTAAATCAAACATAAAAACCATATTTCAATTTTTGTCTTGAAATTATAAAAGGATGGTTTAGGTGTAGAGAAAACTCTTTGGTAACGATCGAGAATTACCGAGTTCACAGTGATCACCGTAACGACTGTTTTTGCAGAAGCACTGTTTTCTTGGTTCGACGAGTTTATTGACGACGATACATCTGCCATCGTTACCGCAGTTTGTATCATCCCAACATTCATCTGTAAGCAATACACATAAATTCTATTCTAATAATAATATTTTGACGTTAATACCCAATTTGTTCCTCTACAATCAAAAGAATTTCAATTACTTTCAGAGCAAACGAAAAATTCTGCTAACACACACAAAAAAAAAACTTAGAAAAAATATATAGATTAACATTTTTTTACCAAACCAAATAGAAAAATAACCTTTAAAAGAGCAATCTTTGCCGGAAAAAAATGGTTTACATTCACAAGTGGAATTTTTGCGAGTTCCTTGTTCAAAGCACGTATCACCATCAGGTATCTCTGAAAAAAAGAAAAAAAAGAAAATTACAGTTTGCGAAATAATTACTTTCAACAGCACTAATTGAACAACCAATTTATTGTTTTCAGATAAGGTATATTTGAGCCATCCATTTATCGCATATACCACTACCAAATGGGTACTTCAATTTTTGAGCAAGAAAAAATTTTAAAGTTTTATAATGTTTGCACTTTGACCAATTGTATATTGCCCAATTTATTTGTAAAATTTTCATAACAACACCACTTAACTGCCATTCTATCATTACCTCAGTGACAATCAATTAGCAACAAAACTAAAGAAAAAAAAAGCAAAGAAGAAAAACAGCAGTTATTTAATGATTTAATATTGTGTAAAATTGGTTAACCTTTAACAATATGGATTGCTGCACATGAAAAAAATTGATAATTGCTGCCAAATTCTTTCGCCTGACGTACCAAACGAAGTGAACAGTCATAGCACTCCAAATCCGGTGGTATTAATACAGCCTGTGTACGCCTTCTACAAATTTTTTAATCTATCAATTTTTTTACTACTTAATACTGAAAACTCTCTAACTGTATACTGTTCAAAATAGCAGTTCATACTAAAACTTACCACACTTAATTAAAGTATTCTCAAATGCTTAGCAAAGCTACCGTTTCATCCAAAAATTGGATTCTCTAGTTGAGATGGAAAAAAAACAAAGGTTTGCAAATATTACAGGTCACAACTAATTTTACTATAATCGCAAATTTATATCAATAATAAAGCTTAAATAATGAACTTAAAATAGATGGATTTTAAGCTGCATACGTCGGATTAGCCGGAGTAATGTATGTTGATATTGGTGTAAGCATTGCTGCCAGTTGATTAGTCTTATCCAAGACTTCAAGTTTGTAGCCGCCCTAAACAGGAACCTTTCATTTGCCATCTCTATCGTTTATAGTTATTTCTCATATCATTAGCCAATTTCTTTTTTTTTTTTTTTGGTTCAAGAGTGGATTTCAGCATGAAATTTAATGCTTAAAATAATTCAAAAATGTTTAAACTTCTTGTTGTTATGTTTCTTTTTCTTTTTTTTTTCTGCAGTTATCTTTCTCTATTCGGTAATGTTTTCATGTTTTTTTCTTTTTTTATTATAAAACCTCTTATTGTTCTTCGTTGTTATTTTCTTTCCCCTTTTGCATTGTTTTTTAAAAAGAAAAACAATGCAAAGCGAATACTCCTAGAATTCTTCAAAAAATTGTACAATTGCGTAGATGACGAGGAAAAGAAAGAAAAAAAACTGGAGAAAACTTTAAAGAGAAATTGTAAACAGATTTCGCTGGTGCGTTTAATCTTTTCAATCATTATCACGATAAAAATAGATGAACAAAAAAGTGATGAATAAAACAAAAAGGAGAATGTTCTGTTTTTGCTCTTTTGACTTCATTATCTCCAGCAGATCGATTTCCAATGTAACAATGATTTGTGCAGATAACCTTTTGTTTTGTTGCTTTTTTCCTATCTTTTTTTTGCTATTATTGTTTTCATTTATTTCTTCTAGAAGAGTTTAAAAAAAAAAGAAAAAAAATGTTTTTTTTCCGTCTTAAAACTGTTCAATATATTAGTCTTCACTGCTCTCCCCTCCTCTTTTGAAAGGTCTGTGTCTTCAGTAATTCTGTAAAATTTGCAAGTGGTACGATACGTTGTTGTATTCAGCAATCCCGGTTGCTCACTCATTCAATTGTTGTTTGTTGTTTTTTTAAGACCA